ACAGTATTCTGACTGAGATGCTGCCTAGCATTAAAATGGAACAATATACTTGATCAGATTAACAGATTCATGAGATCTTTCACAAATTGCAAAGATGGTGACTTCTGAATTTATTTAAATAACAATTGCAACATACATATATTTACACCTTGGGCTTGCAAACCATTGGCATGTTCTCTCCTAAAGCATTAGTGTTAATGATTTAATTACTATCAATATATTTCCTTTCCCATCTTGATTTTTTTTTTGATTCTGATTATCAAGATTGTCATGAAGACCATGTCTTGTATAGTAGTTTAGACCACCAGAGGGACACAGGGAGGGTTTTTCCCCTCATTTTCATAAACTCTCGAAAATCTTCAGGGCCTCTTCTCTTGTCCTTTGATTTACATGCCAAAAGGCAACCTCTCTAATCACAAAACAAAACCACAGAGGCATTTTTTGAGAGTTTTGTGCCTCAGTAAGTAATTTGCAAGGGAGAATAAAAGAACTCATTAGGCCAAGGAATGTGAAATATATGAGAGGTTAAAGTAAAATGCAAGGTATGACGCCTGCTACTTCTTTTGTGTGCCCCAGCAAATGTGAAGGATAGCTCCTGTGTAGGGCCATGTCTTCACTCTGGAATTAAATAGATATCCTCCTAAGCAGAACTATGCTGCAAAGGTCTCAGACTGGCTCCAGGCATTAAAAGTTGCAACTGATTCTCAACTGGCTGTTGAAGGCCACCTTCTCCAGGCACCGCACCATCGACATCTCCTTCCCCAGCAGCTCCTTCTCTTCCAGCTCTTTCAAACCCAAAAATCTTCGACGTGAGCCCTGTCTCTACTCTCACACTTGAAACTTGATGTTACCTCCCAGAGGGTAAACTAGATGTCTTTCTGCTGTCCCCTGGACTCTGGCTGGGGCTGAAGGTAATTCTTGCTTGGGACTTGACTTTTCAACAACAAATCAGGAAAAAAGACAGACAGACAAAACAGTGAAGCTGCAAGTCTCGGCTTGATCATTCCCTTTGAGCAAGGTTCCCGGGCAGCCTGCCACAGCCTCCCATCCCAAACCCCTGGTACCTTTGACCAGGAGCATCTCCTGGCCCTTCGACACTGTGGGATGATCAGGAATCACACAGGGTCCCTCTGCAGTGCCCCACATGCTCACCCCACCCTGGTAGCCTACTGAACCAGTGAGCAGCCCCCAGATAAAACAGTTCAGGCTTTCTGATAAGCTATGTAGGAGATTTGGACATGCAGTCACAGTTGGCAGATGTTGGATATTGATGCCCTCTAGAAGACTTCCTGTCTATTTTCCATTGCATGGAAGTAACCCCTCAGCACCCCGCTCCTTTCCCACCATAACTGGGTGGCCCAGCACCCCAGGCTGCAACCCCATACTTGGTTAGTGGAGAAAGAAACCAGGTGGCTTGCTGAGGCATTTCTCAATATCCCAAACTCATCCTCATTTCCCTTCATCATGTCTCTACCTGCCATGTTCTTTGAGGAGAAAGGAACAAATGCATTCATTAGAGTACGATGAGCACTCCCGCCTGAGCCTCCCACACCTCGCTGCCTCGGCGACCTCATGGAGATTTCACTAAAAATGTGTAATTAGGTCCTGCAAAGTGACTTCCTGGCTGAATGTGCTCCTTTCCAGTGCAGAAACCCTAAGTGGTGGTGTGTATTTTTCAGGGCTGCTTCGAGTACCGCTTCATTTTTCTAGCTTTTGTTTACAAAGTTATATTTACTTATCTTTTTACCAGTGCCCGAGCACATCAAAGCCAAGCCCGTTCTGAAAAATCTTAAAGCCCATGGACGATGTCACTTACTGGCCTGGATTTTGTGTATCCTGAAAAAAGGTGGTATGGAAAATAGCTATAGATAGGCTGTGTTGAAAAGGTTGTATTTGCACATGAGCTTGTATGTGTTTGTCTGTCCGTCCTTGTACTAGTTTGCCAGAATATGTAAAGAAATTCCATCCCGAGCAGGGGTTGATTCAAACATGATCTGAAGTGCTCTGCTAACATAGGGTGTACCAAATCTCATTCTGTGCTGAATCTGTGCCAAAGTGCTTTTCAGATAAATTACAAATTAATGTAATGTCTCTTGTGGAGCTTAAAGTATTTCTCTTCTCTTCTGTTCTCCCTCTCTTCAAGGGGGGCTGCTGGTCCAGTTATGGACTTTTTCTTTTAACCATCATCGTTGTCGTGGAGGAAATGGGTTGTTGAGGAGAAGCGTTCCTCAAAAGCATCCAGACTCGAAACTGGTCTTAGCTTCCTTACTGCAAACTGGAGTCCCTATAGCACAGATCCCTCCTCCTCCTCACCCAGGATGTGCTTCAGCCTGGGCTGTGAGAGCTGCCAGGTGTCCAAGGGGCCTCCCTCTCCAGGACTGCTGGTGGGTGAAGCTGAAGTCGCCGGCGACAGTGTCCCCTGCTCTGGCTGTAGCTTTGTAGATCAGGGCTGAGGGCCTCACCTGACTGTGAAAGCCATCTGCGAACCAGTGAGGACTTTCAGGCATGGATGTTATACTTGCACAGCTCCTGCCTTTACGAGGTAGACCTCCACATTGGCAAGCTGTCTTAACCTGATACATCCTTGTGACAAGTACATGGATCAGGCAGGCCAGATCCCACTCTAGGGGAAAAAAGCAAGCAAGCAAGCAATCATTTTATGATGACCTGTTTTTTCCTATCCCCAGCGTTAGGAGATTGTTTGTACTCTGACGGTGGTTCCAAAAGGGGCCGCGAGCCCTGGGCAGGCAGTGCTTTTCTTGGAGAGCGGCGCTTCTGAAATGAGAAACAGACAGGGAAAATAAAGACAGGCTAAAACATGCAAGCAAGGAGAAGTTGATGGGCCAGCGCTTTGGTTTCTTGTTTCTTTTGTGTGGATGGCTCCTGCTTGCACTCCTGGTCCCTCACCTTAGCTCCACTCACACCTGAAGGCTTTGAAGCATCGTACTTGCTTCTAATCACAGATTCACAATAGACTTTTTTTTTATGTTGATACAAAAAGCCAGGACACTAATAAATATATAGATCTACCTAGAACATTTTGTTATATGCCTCTGATTTTTCAACATCCATTTAGGAGAAGAGCTAAATTGCTAAATCTTAAATAATGTAGCACCTCACTAGCAGAAATTCACATACTCAAACCCAAGGGAGAGCAGGCAGTGGCACCCTGGGTGCTCTGCTTTTCACACAGTAAGCACATCCCTCTCCGGTTAAATCACTATCAGTGCAGATTTCATCACGTTTAATTACATAGTGCCCAATCCCAGATCTGAGCTTTCTACTTTCAAGCACTATTTTCTCAGGTATGTCCTAAACAGATCTAACTAAAAAAATGAGCAACTGTAAGATTGTTTGGATCCCTGTAAGTGGTGGGATGCAAAGCCAATGTGGATCTTGCAATGTTTACAGCAAGCTTTGCATCTCTGACATATTTTAGCTCCTAGGAGCTATATCCCATGTCATTCGTACCTGTCCCATTTGCCCACTTCTCAGCAGGGCTTGTTAGCTTGGCCAGTGGCTGCACCAATACAGCCACCGGAGTTTTTTGCTGACTCAGGAGATGGCAGAGCGAGCCTTTTCCTGCCCTTCCTCTAGATAAAACATGGGCAAGTCTTGCTGTGAAATTGTTAAGTCCCTCTAACTCAATGGGTGTCCTATATATTTGAGGTATCTACATTGCAATGAGATTTTGCTGAATTTGATCTGTTGGTTTTGCAGAGGAAAAATCTTGGCAGGAGTAGAAGGGAATGTGGGAAAAAAGCAAGACGAGTCTTTAAGAGATGAACTCGTGGGAATTTCTACCCTGACACCCAATCCTGTTCTTATACACCTACGTTCCCCGAAAGGTGCCACGGGAAATAGGGAAGCAGCTGTGACGGCAGCAACAGGCAGGGACTGTACGTATAGCGAGGAGCTGAGGAGAACGTGGTTAGGCTCAGTGCTCTTTTAAGACATGGCACACCATGTCTCCCATGTAAGAATCATGCTTTTCAGGCACACTCTTAGAAGATCCAGGCACAAGTACAAGGAGGTGGTTTGAAATTACTACGTATGTCTTCTTGAGATATTTACACTCCGGGGACCACCCACGTCACAGGATGTGTTTGAATTGCTCACCAAGCTTTCTTCTGGAGTCAAGACGAAATTACCAATTCTCTTTCCCCAGAACAGAAGAAAAATTAGCAACTTTCTGAATTTATTATTAATATTATTACAGAGGCATTTCTTAAAAATAGATCCCATTCTTGAAGACCTTTCAAGCGCTGGGGGAAATCTTTGCACCTCTTTAACTCCTTTAACTGCTGGTTAAACCTAGCTTGTAAAAAAAATTCATGGAGGTAAAAACAAACTCCTTTTCTTTGTAAGCCTGTTTAAGCAAGTTGAGGAAAGGATATGGGAAGGGAGGATGAAATCCCCGTTAGAAAAGATGCATTATTTTCTATGTTTATATGACAGTGAAATCCTTGTGGCTACTCTTGTGCACTGAGACAATATATTTTAGTTTTAATTGTTTCAGTCAATGTCAATTTTACATCAAACATGCAATAAAGTAAAAATGGCCTTTGGGATACATCACTGAGTCTTATTGTGTGCTGCAGTACTGCCAGTGTAAATACCTACTTCTGTTTTGTAAGCTCAAAGCCAAATGGAGCAAAATTTTCCTTTCAGAGAGACTACTGACCTGTCAGCATCAAAAATATTATTTTTAGCATATAAAAATTGTTTGTCAGTGATTGTAATAACAAGAATCTTTGCAAAATCCATTATTACTCTAGTAAACATTTTCCCTGAGGCAGTAATAGTAGGAAATGAATTAAGAAGTTAGTTGATAGCAACTGGATAAGAAAAAATCATAAAGTGTCACATCTACAGAGTTACTGGGATAAAATATATTTTCTTTCTATTTAAATTATTAAATGTTTACAGTAGCTCAGAGAAAACATCAGAGCTAAAGCATTTTGGTAAATTATAATTTTTTTCTACTGCTTGCTTTCCAGAATGCTAGAAGATGACCTCAAGTTAAGCAGCGACGAAGAAGAGACTGACCAGGTAAGAACCAGACAACTAACGTGTCACTTGTAGCATGTTTCATGTTGAGACGGAGCTATTGCAAATATTTTGCTAATGCTTTTTCAAAACATACATAAAGGTTATCAAAATACATGGCAGTACTGTAACTGGAGTAACAGATGTTGCTGCTCGGAGCCAGCCCGCCTGTGCTAACTGCTGGGTTGGTGGGGAACGGTCGGCAGTGCTCTTGATTTATTACCTTGATGCGACCCAGAAGGTTTTTGTATCAGTCTCCTCCTGATCTGATTTTGGTTTGTTTTAAAGAGCAGCCAAGGAGGGGAGAAACAGGAATTCTGGATTAAGGGTTCAGGCCAAACCTTGCAATCCTGAGCTGGCCCCAGGGATTAGCCACTGGGCTGCTTACCTCTTACCTGCCTAGAGCCTCGCTGGCATCCCCCCGGCCCTCGCCTCTCCTCCGAACATTTTCAGTCCTGTCTCTGCATGGCCCACGTGTGCTAAGAAAGCTAGGGAGTAGCTGAGAGAATGCCTTGGCTGTGCATTTGGTTCACTTCATAACACAGCAATTAGGGCACCTGCCTGGGTTTTAACGACCCCAAACCACATGACTGGGAGCAGATACATCAGCCAAAGTTTTCCACCTAGCAGGAGAGCTGGGTTTTGTTGGCAGGGTGAGGTGTCTCCCAATTTTTCCTTGAAGCATTTCTGTGTTTTGTCTAAATAATTAAGTACTCACTAGAATAGGGATGGATCTTGACTTTCCCATGACCAGCTGAGTGCCTCGTTGCCAAGCTCTATGCCACGCTCTCTCCTTCTCAGTATAGCGGCATGGGTGGTTTGGTTGGGGATGAGAGGGCAAGAGCCACTTCCCTGCCTTCTTGCAGTAAAATGCAAGTTGTGTGCCTTCACCGGAGCGTAGGAGGGCAGTACTGCCCCTGGTTGCATCTCACAGGTGGATCCAGACCTGGATGTAACGGGTTTCAAATGTTATTATTTCAGTCAAGGGTAGCTGGAGCTATCTAGACTTCTGAAATTTAGGATCTTAGACAAATCATTCTAGGTATGTAGGCATGAAGCTCTTCCAGGGTTTTCTTCAACTCTTGTTATTAGCAGTCTCTATTTTACAATATATTCCAAACAACAGGTAAATCAAAACCTTTTAATATTTATACTAAACCATTATGTTGTCTATTTTGAGCAAAGCTTCTTGGTGTTAAGAAGATTCAGCACATAGATTCAATTATTTACATATTTATACAATTTCTTTTTGTTTAATGTATTTCATCCTGAAACACTTCACATTTAATTACTCTTCCTGCTTGTCTAGATAGTTTAAAATACAGTGCATAGACAGCATAGGGCAAAGTAAAGTGAGGGACAGAGGGGATGCCTGAAGAATAACAATAGCATGCCAAGATGCCGTGGTGCTTGCAGCAAGGGGCTGGGTGGTAGGGAGGTGGGGAGAGATGGCTTGTCCTTCAGGTAGGAAGGGAGACGGGATCCTGCATGATGGAGGTCAGCATGGAACAGGCTGGCAGAGCCAGAGAGCTAGAATTCTGGTTTGCTTCATAGCAAGCAGCAAAGGACCTGTGAAAGTGTTTGTCACGGAGGAGATGAAAGGACATGAGTAGGTTTAGGCGGAGAAGGGATCATGGAAACATACCGCCATTCAGGCGTGCACACATGGTACCTTCGGTTTAGCACTACCACTTACGACCCTTAACATCTTCCATGCGCTTTGATTGCTCAGTATTATGTGTGCTTGCGCAAGGTCTTTGCTCCATAACCAGAGCTTTAAGGTACAGCTGATACAGCCTGGGTCTTTCGCCTCAGTGCTCGAACAAGCTCTGCAGAGCCAGGACAGAGTTTGCCACCCGCGCGGCAAAGAGCGGAGCTGAGATCCCAGTATTCACTTCTAATCGTCACGGACCCTATAGTCTAGACCTTTGGCATATAGTCTGTGACTTGGTCCTCTTTCCTTTTCCTAGTCACATTTTTTTCTAGCTTGAATCTGTACAGATTAAAGTCTCCTGGAGGCACAGGCTGGCTCCCGCTATATGAAAAGCCTTGCAGAACCTCAGCTGAGACCTGCAGGTTTGCTTAATGAATAAATATGCCTGCTGGATAAACAAAACACTAAGTTTCCATCTACCTAGAAGGAAACAGGCCCACAAAAAGAGTAACACAGACCCCCTCTGCCAATAAATGCCCAGATTACAACACAGATCCGTGTCTAAATGTCAGTGGAAGAACGCATTTTCTTTTACATCCTAATTCTGAAGCTCTTTAATCTCAGCTCTCCTCCTGAGCTCGGGAACAGGAAAGAAAGAAATCAAAGATGAAGGAATAGGAACAGTACATGAGTGATTCCTGGATATTCCTTACACAATTAATTAATCTTTGAGCACACAGACTCATTTAAGTAGTCCAATTTCTTAAAGAGCTGAAGGTGATCTGAACAAGAACTGGGAAGCTTTTGATTTTGCTGATTTCTAAACAGGGCAGTTTAGGGGAAAGACTTTGAAAACTTCAGGGGAGATTTTGCGGTTGCATCTGAAATGGCCAAGCAGCAAAGGGAAGGTTTCTGAAGCAGTGCAAAGGGGGACCGGTGCTCCTGCTCTCCCAGGGTCGGTGTTTGGAGGGCTGTGACTGACCCAGGGAATGTGAGCCATGGATGAGGGAGGCCAAACACAAGACAGACACATGATTAAGAGCTTCGGGACCAGCAGTGGGCAAGGCATTCCCAACCCTTCCCTCCGCGTCAGCAATTAAGGTAGTGAGATTCACAGACCCAGGAGAGGCAAAAGAGGCTGGGTTTGAGCTGAGTGTGTGTGCGCCCACAGTAATTACATTATCCACACATATTAGTCTCTTAATTTTAATTACATAAATGTATTTTTCCTCTTTAATGAGCATAGTTTATCCATTTAAACTGATCGTTTTAATTTTACAGGCAGTGATCATAGGATCTAATATGCAGAGGGAAAATTTCCTGTTGGCATATTTTACATCACACAGATTGAAGAAAATATACTTTTTAATCCCCAATCAATATCTGAAGAGCATGCAATTAACAGATACCAAGGTAGTTAACATAAATCTGCAAGTTAAAGAGCCAATTCATTTTGATTTATAACATATAGAGTAATAATTTCATCATCATCTCTCCCAGAAAGCATCTGAAGCTTTGTAGCATGAAGATGTCAAAATTGTACTTAAGATTGTTCGGAGTACTGAATTGTAGTGGTTATTGCTTTTTGGTTCCTTGAAGTGTGGCGTAGCACATGAAACAGTCCCCATTATAATACCCTGCTCTTCTCCGTAGAGGTCACTGGATAACTTAAATCAGTCTTGGGTGAAATATTAAAAGGAGATTGTCAATTGTAATATGAACAATTCTCTTTTTTTCCCCCAACTTGTCCTTTCACAATATGAAAGTTTTGTAATAGAAAGTAGTTCCTTTAAGGGGAAAAAGGTCCCTGGCATCATTTGTGCAATTCATGTCAATCAATAGCCAAATAAATTAACTGACTGGTACGCATACATGGAATAATAATCTAACATATTTTTGCTACCCAAGTCTGCTTCCTTGTATGCATTTTTTCTGCGCGGGATCAGGTTGGTTGCCGCTGAAGTTTTGTGGCTGTGAAAATTTATTACCCACAGAGTCAATCTGCATTCTGGCTGCCAAGTCTGAATAAATAGAGTCATTGTGCTTGTCTGGAATATGTAACCAAAGTTCATCCAGTCAGCTTGACTTTCACATCCCATGGGATTCATAAAAGCCAACACCCTGGTATGTGCTCTTGATTCCTGCCAAAATTTTGTAAAATTGTATAAACAGAAGTTGAAGAAGCAATCAGAACACACTCCCAGGGACATGGCTCCGCACTCCAGCCCCTGCTGTATCTCAAAAGGAAAGACCCAACTTTAGTAATCTTTTTTTTTTTTTTTAATAATTCTACAACTATCTCCCTGCAGCAGCAGGTAAATGTAGGGGCTGAAGGCACCCTCCACACACAGTCCACAGGGAGGCAGCGAACAGTCCTCTTGGGTTCATTAATTTTTCTCATGTGCCCTGAGGCACATGAAGAGGGAAGGCAGCATTTGCCTGCAAGTGGCTGGACGGGGACAGGCTGGCCCTGCAGGGTCCGAGCGCCATAGAGCAAAACCGGCCCCTCCGCAGGCAAGCCAAGACAAACAGAAAGCCGTGTCCCTTCACAGGACACCTCGGGGGGAAGAGCAGCCTCCAGAAAGGTCGCCAGGAACAGCTTCAGTGCAATAAAATAAAAGTCTCGGCAGCCTGGTCTGGCTTGCCAGCCCGAGCCCCCCAGGGCGTTGGCAGCCCACCCAGCCTGGTGCCCTCCCAGCGGGTCCCGGGGCTGCCCCCGATCCACAGCAGCCCGGGGCCAGCCAGGGTGGGCCACTGGCCCTGGGGGACCTGTCCATGCTCCAGCATCACCCTGGCTATGGCTGAGCCGGGAAACTTGATGCTAATTCAAGTTACACCCACAGCCTCGGTGGGGGCATACGTGCCTACATTTCCTCCCCGCCACATATGCACTGTGGGATGCCAGGGTTCAGCGCTGGAAATGCATCTTTCTGGCAGGACTGTCTGCAGTGTAGGCATTTAGGACCAGCCAAATCCATCCTGTTATTGCAACAGGACAAAAGTCCATCTACGTGGTCAATGGCAATCAGTGTGGCCGTGTCCCTATGTAAATAACATTAGGAAATTATTTCTTTTTTTAAGTTATAAAATCATGTTTCATTTATTTAATGGTAGCCAGAAACAAATGAGAAAGAATGTATGTAAAGACAATCTTTCTAATTATGTGGAGGGCTGTTCCCTCTCACTTCTGGATATAGAGTGACAATCAACGAAAAGATAAAAATTATCCTGAAATGAATGGTCATGCATCCACCTTCTTCCAGAAGGAATAATTTTTAGTAGAGTCTTTATAAGCACTACTTCTGCATATGCAATGGAATATTCCAGCTAATTTGAAGCCATCTGTAAT